TAGGTCCCCCAGAGAACTTGCTGACCAACCCCCCCTTCCGCGAAACTAAGCCTCCACCAAAGAGGGCGAGGCAGGATGTTGTGGTTAAACCGATAAACCGGGAATAGGGAACAAAAAGTCTCTGAGTTAACAATTAAAGGGCGAGTACAGACACGCTAACTCAACTGCCTGTGGAAAGCCCCACCGCTAACCCCTAAGTGGACCTTGCCTAACCCGTTCGCCTGACTCAACCCTACCAATCCCCACCCTAAACATGACTCAAAATTAGCCAGTCAACACCCTGTAACCATGCATCTCGCTTCTGTAACCCTGCTTCCAGCTGCCCATAAAAGAGGGTGCTCTCATGTGCCCCGGCGCGCAAGTCTCCCGATAGACTTTGTCGCCCCGGGTACCCGTGTATCCAAACAGGCCCCCAGCCACCGACCCGAACCTTGTGGATCTCGAGGTCGTGTGCACTGGGGAGCCTAGGCATGCCCAAATAAACCTCTTGCTGTTTGCATCCGCTCAAGTGGTCTCGTTGTTCCTTGGGAAAGGGTCTCTCTAGATTGAAAGGCACCCCACCCGGTCTGGGGGTCTTTCAGACATATGTAGAATGACTGGCTTATATAGGATCTGGAGTCTTGGTCTTGGTTTACTAATTAAGCACTTTCTGATGTAACAGACATTTTTTCTGAATGCCTCATGGATATCTTTAATTACATAACTATACAGTGGCATCTATCTTGGCTCTAGAAATTCTAAATTTAGGTCAACCTTTGTGTTTCTGTAAAAGAAGACAGTACATTTGTTGGAAGCCACATTATGGAAGATGGAATACTGCAGTGTTTATTACACAGCTAGCAGTCTGCAAGCAGCCTGTTGTAACAAGGACTTGCAGTCCAAAAATAGACAGCTTGCTAACAGGACAGAAAGGAAAAAAAAAAAGAATTAAAACAACACCCAGAAACCAATCAGCAGGAAAAGAGTGCTGAATTGGCACACTATGATGACCAGAGACAAGCCAGGAGACAGGACACAGGACATGATCACAGAGACATGTACCATAGCATCTAGTGCCACTGCTGGTCCAGCCTAAATAGGGCCTAAGCAGGAGGCAGGTCCACAGGAAATTCCAATCCCAGTCAGTGGACTAAGAGATTGAGTAACATATCAACCAAATTCTCACCCCTGCTTCCAGGGAATCAGCCACACTTATCAGTTGTGTGGCAAGTGATGAAGGAGGTATTCCTTGCCCCTGCATGAAGACAAGATGCCAGACCCCACCATCCACCATGTGCCCAATAGGGCACCAGCCACACCTGACCTCCTTACTTAATATTCTTGAAATATTAAGTCAATTTATAAAATGTTACAGCCTCCTTATAATTTTGTAAACAGTTCAAGAATTAACTTTTGTAAAAGCCATTTTGCTTGAGCCCCACCTCTGAAACAATAATTCTCACATTCACCAAAAACTAAACCTTCTTCTTTTGAATAGTTTATTTCTTCCTTCTTCTTCATTCCTCCCCTTCCTCTTTCCCTCTCTCACATCACTCCTTCCTGCCTTCCTTCCTTCCTTCTTTCTTTCCTTCTTTCTATCCTTCCTTCTTTCCTTCCTTCCTCTCAGGGCCTATTAGTGATGCTGTAACTCAAGTGGCAGATTGCCACGCCGACTCCAGTGGAGTCTGCTTAGCATGGGAAACCATCTATCAGAACAAGATAGGGGCTTCAGAGACCTATCTCTGAGTTCTGGGACTTCACCGAAGTCTACCTCAGAGAATGGGGCTTTACAGAAACCTATCTCCAAGTTTTGGGACTTCACCGAAGTCTACCTTGGAGAATCGGGCTTCTAAGAGGCCTACTCCTGGAAAAAGGCTGGCAAGCCCCTCGGAAAGATGTGTTTCTGCCTTTCTTTTCCTCATAAGAGTGCCTATTAATCTTTTACTGTTTCTGCTGTTCATTGTACTTACTCATTGTCAACGTTCCCTTATTCAAAGCTCTTTCTTAAGAGTGTTGACGACTCCAATATCTGATGAGTGCCTTAAAAAATATGACTAACTCACCAGAGTTAAGTGCTACCCTGAAACCCCTCTTATGGAGGCTAGTAGACAAGTCATAAGCAAATATAAAAGTATTGGGGGTTTCACAAAGTCACTTCAGCAGAAGGAATTGTTTGTAAGAGATTTACAAGAAGCTGTAGGCGCGGCTAGAACAGAAGGAATGTATGGCAATTGCTGAGATAACTACTTAGGAGAAAGAACTTCCTGTTACTCTCTTTCATTTACTAAGAGACTTGCTAGATCTAGGCCTCGGTGACCTTGCTATTGAGGAAAGAACAGGAAAGATCTTATGGGACAGTTAAGGCCTCTATAGAAATAAGGTAATGGTTAGTTGAAGACAAAACATCGAAACCCATTATATTTCTTAGAGATAAGCCGGAAACAAGTGCCTTTCAGGCAACCAGCTGGTGACCACCCAAGAAAGAAGCCCTACAGCAAGGTTGTGTAAACTTTTGCCCTTTCAGGCGACCAGCTGGTGACCGCACAAGAATGAAGCCCTGCAGCAAGATTATGTAACCTTTTGCCCTTTCTTATGGAGACTTTTTGCTATAAAAGTTTGTTATCCTCTGCATTAAATCGCACTCAGCACTCAGCATCCACTCCTAATGTTTGTGAGTTGTCTGTTTGCCATCTCCCCATCCTATTCCAGGTTCCTCCCCAAGGTATCCTCCGTCGTCCCGACAGAATCCGGTCCGCGGCAGCAGATGGTTTTATTTTTTTGTTAACTTCAATTTTTGTGAGAGGTTGATCAATATCTTTGTGTGCTCAATTATTTCCCCTAATATCCTATCCACTTTGGCCCTCTATGAGATAACACAGGTGCGACACATCATCCACACTGGTGTTTTGTAATAGCTTGCTCAGCAGAACAACTAAATATTCTAAGAGTGAATCAATCACAAGTTGCTCATCACCAATGATTAATTAAAGAAAAGAGCAAGCACTGAAGACACTTTGGGGTTCTCCCCCAAGGCACAATGCAGATTCTCGTCTTTATTAATCTATCATATTTTTAAATATATATTTTATTGTAAACATACTGTACAGATTGGTTATACCATTATGAGTTAGGTCATGAATACATTTCCTTTTGAGCATTGTTACCCCTCTGAGAAAGACATTACTACTATTTATGTACTGCAATAAGGACTAATATCTTCCTTTAGATCTTCCATTCAAAAACTGAACTGAGCCAGGCTCTGGTGGCTCACGCCTGTAATCCTAGCTACTCAGGAGGCTGAGATCTGAGGATCGTGGTTCAAAGCCACCCCAGGCAGGAGAGACCATGTGACTCCTATCTCCAATAAACCACCAGAAAACCAGAAGTGGCACTGTAGCTCAAGTGGTAGAGCGCTCGCCTTGAGCTGAAGAGCTGAGGGACAGCGCCCAAGCCCAGAGTTCAAGCCCCACTACCGACAAAAAAAAAAAAATTGTACTATAACGCATGGATCACACATACAGAGGGAGATTTAAGGGAGCAGTAGAAATATGGTTGTTCTCATGTTCATAACAGTATTTACTCATCTATTGTTCCCATAAGCATGTTGGAGATAATCTGAACCCAGTCCCAAAGGGCTAGAACTCATATTTCTAAGAAGAGTTTATCAAATTACATTGACACACCATTCCTTAGTATAAAAGACACAAGTGAATTATTTCAATTTCTTAATGATTTGTCGAGACTGGTTGTTTCTACATGCTTTGGATAATATGGAAGGACACCATCCCCACTCAACATAATGACAAATGTTGGCTCAAAGAGAGCTGAAGAGTGAAGAATGGCTTCCCATCACCCCTAACTTAACTCTGCCATGAAGAATTTCTCTGTATAATTTACAGAGGTTTTCTGACAAAGATTTTCCTACATTGGGTTTCTTTCCTGGGTGAATATTTTAATAATTGCTGAAGGTTGGCTTCTGGTTGAAAGACTTCCTCTCATGTTTATATTTACAGAAATTCTGTCATGTGTCCAGGTCTCTGATACCTGTACAGATAAGACTTCTGGCAAAATGTTTTCTATACTCATAATTTCTCTCCTGTGTATGATCTCACATATGATGAGGACTCAGTTCTGATTGAAAGTCATTTCATATATGTTCTATGCACTACTTTCTTTTCTCCTATGTGAGTCAGTTCTCTCATGAACACTGAGATATTCCTTTCAGGTCAAAGACCTTCCACATTTGTAATATTTTTAAGATTTCTCTGCTGGGTGTTATATGAACTTGGATCTATGAATACTTAGTAAAGGACTTTCCACATTTGATATATTTGTATTTTCTCATCTGTGTCTGTTCTCTGATGGAAACTGAGTTAGGACTTTTTCTTGAAAACCTTTCCATTTTTTCCTACATATGATTTCTCTCCTCTTTGTGTGTGAGAGTATGTGTCTGTGTTTCTGTGTGTTTTGGGTGTTCTGTGATATACTCTGAGCTGTGTCTTGTAGTTGGAGGACTCCACATCAGCTGTATCATAAGGTCTCTATCCCGTATTGGTTCTGTATTGCAATTTCAATTTTCTTAAAGATCTAAGACTTTCCCCATTTGGTACAATCCTAAGTTATTTCATTTGTGTGAATCAACTTATGTGTGTTAAGCTGTGAACTCCAGGTCTTTCCACACTGGTTGCATTCATAAGGTTTCTCTCCTTGTGTTCTGTGATGGATGTTAAGTTTTGCCTTCCAGATGAAAGAATTTCCATGCCTACTACATACATAACATTTCTCTCTGGTGGGTTTTATTCTGATGGACAGAAAGGTGTATGTTCTGGGTGAAAGAATTTCCACATAGGTTACATTCATAAAATTTCTCTCCTGTGTGTGCTCTCTGGTGGACAGTAAGGTGTAGCTTCTAGCTGAAAATCTTTCCACACATATGACATTCATAAGGTTTCTTTCATGTGTGTTTTCTGATGGAGAGTGAAGTTTTACTTCCAGGTGAAAGCCTTTCCACACATGTTACATTAATAAGGTTTCTCTCTTGTGTGTGTTGTCTGGTGGCAAGTAAGGTATGACTTCTTGGTGAAAGACTTTCCATACGTGTTACATTTATAAGGTTTCTCTCCAGTGTGTGTGTTCTCTGGTGGCAAGTAAGCTTTGATTTCTGGATGAAACACTTTCCACACAGGTTGCATTCATAAGGTCTCTCTCCTGTGTGTGTTCTGTGGTGGGCAGTAAGGTTACCCTTTTGGGTGAAAGATTTTCCACACACATTACATTCATGAAGTTTCTCTCCTGTGTGTATTCTCTGGTGGCAAGTAAGATATGCCTTGCAGGTGAAAGAATTTCCACAAATGTTACATTCAAAAGGATACTCTTTTGTGTGTGTACTCTGGTGAACAGTAAGCTTTGATTTCTTGGTGAAAGACTTTCCACACACATTACATTCATAAGGTTTCTTTCCTGTGTGTGTAATCTGATGGACAGTGAGGGTTGACTTCCAGGTAAAGGACTTTCCACACAAGTTACATTCATAAATTTTCTCTCCTGTGTGTGTTCTCTGGTGGGTAGAAAGATATTCCTTGTGGGTGAAAAACTTTCCGCAAATCTTACATTCAAAAGGTTTCTCTTTTGTGTGTGTTCTCTGGTGGACAGTAAGATTTGATTTCTGGGTGAAACACTTTCCACACAGGTTACATTCATAAGGTCTCTCTCCTGTGTGTGTTCTGTAGTGGACAGTAAGCTTTGATTTCTTGGTAAAAGACTTTCCACACACGTTACATTCAAAAGGTTTCTTTCCTGTGTGTGTTATCTGATGGACAGTGAGAGTTGACTTCCAGGAGAAGGACTTTCCACATGAGTTACATTCATAAATTTTCTTTCCAGTGTGTGTTCTCTGGTGTCTAGTAAGATATGCCTTGCAGGTGAAAGATTTTCCACAAATGTTGCATTGAAAAGGTTTCTCTTTTGTGTGTGTTCTCTGGTGGACAGTAAGCTTTGATTTCTTGGTGAAAGACTTTCGACACACGTTACATTCATGAGGTTTCTCTCTTGTGTGTGTTCTCTGAGGGACAAGAGTGTGTGTCTTCTCAGTGAAAGACTTTTCACAGTGTTTATATTCTTCAATTACAGAAGACACATGAGGACTATAGGCAGCACACATCTTACCAGGTTCACTGAAAACACCCATTTTCTGACACCCAGTGACCTTTTCTATCCTCATCCCTAAGGAGTTCCCATTATTCTTAATCAGTTCTGACTTCTGTATGGAGCTCAAATGAAAACTTTTTATAAGTCTCACTTTTTCCTCCCCTGGGTTACTATTCATGACTGCTACTTCAGAGAGATATTTATTGTGACTTTCCTGACAGGTGCTATTCACATCCTCCATTTCTGGGACATCTAAAATGAATAATAGAAAAATAGACAAAAACATAAATGAGACCCACAAATTCCTTACGATAACGATATTTCCTCACATTTTGTTACTAGATTTTCAAATATCAAATCATTGCTTTATGCAGAATATATACATTTCTCTGCAATGTAGTAATTAAGAAAGTAGTACTGACATTGTACAGTGCAAAATAATGTTTTTCTGTATTTTAGATTATTATATGTTTTCCCAGGAAATATTTCCTGAAATTATTCATCTCCATACTCTTAATGCTTCCATTCTGAATCGCCCTCTATGCCCAGCACCACTGATAAGAAATTGTCCCCATCAGAGGATAGCAGCCCTAGCATACTCCTATTTTCCTCCTACCTGCATAATACTAGTTTAAAAGAAAATGAGATCTCCTTTCTACATTTCTTATTCTCTTTTTCTCTTTCTGAATGACTTCTCTACAGAAAAAGGGAATTGCTAACACTGCCTACACTGGCACACCAAATTCAGTGTGTCTCCATGTGAATTCTGGATTGACAATTCCTTGAGACAAAGGATCACCTAGTTCTCTGCCACACATGACTCAGGGGCACTAGGAATACTATTGCTCCGTACCGCTCAATATAAACAGACCCACTGGGCTCTGGATCCATCATCACCATTCAAGATGCTTTAACCAACCTGTAAAATTCTTGTCTGAGGTTTCTCTTATCCATGGTTCTGCACCTTGCTCCAGCTTCACAATCAATTCAGGTTTAGGAACACAGTGCCCTGTGAATAAGAAATAGTGGAGTACAATTGCTCTTGCTGGGTCATCATTAATGGAAGGTCGCAGACATCCTGTTCACAAGGTTGCTCCTAAATCTGGTTTCTCAATTGTTTTTGTGGGGGGCCGTCAAGTTGTGGGGTGTGAACTCTCGGCCTGGGAGCTGTCTCTCAGCTCTTAAGCACAAGTCTAGCACTCTATCACTTGAGCCACAACACCAATTCTAGCTTTATTTCCCTGCTTATGTGGTGCTGAGATATCGAACACAGGGCCTCAAGCATGCAAGGTAATTGGTCTACCCCTGAGCCATCTTCCCAGACCATGGTTTCTCTATTCTTAATAACTCCATGGTGGAGTTTCCCCCAGCTTTGAGTTTATTGTGTCCATTGTGTGGCTTGAACTCAGCTCTTTTGCTCAAAGCTAGCATTCTCCTAGTTTGCCTACGATTCTAGTTTTTGAATGGTTAATTAGAGATAAGAGTTTCATGGTCACTTTTCCAAAGTTGCTGGCTTCAAACCAAAATCTTCAGATTTCAGCCTCCAGAGTATCTAGAATTCCAATCTTGATGCACTAAACTCTGTGTCAAGTTTGGCTTACAAATACACACTTTCACCTACTGATTTCCAGATCATACTGTCAGTAGTAATGTATATTTTATCTAGACTGTAGATCCACCTATAATAATTATCCCAAGTCTGAGAAGTCAGTCTCCTATTATTGGATCATAGTTTAGAACTTTTGTCCAAAATTGATTAGAAATCTTAAAGACTGAAAATAAAATTAGCTCTTGAGTTACATATAATGAAGTTGAAGTTTCCCTTACAAAGAAATGACACTTCCCATGGACTGGAATCTTTTTTTAGTGTTTTTTTTTTGTTTGTTTGTTTTTAGAAAATGTTATAGTTCAAAGGCTTACAACTTTAATCCTTCTTTGACGAGATGAGATCTGAAGTGGCAGGCTTGAAACCAACCTGGGCATGGAAACCCAGAATATACCCCAAAACAAAAGCCAAAATGGAGTTGTGGTTCATGCAGTAGTGCAAAGGCAAACAACACCAAGCTCCCAGACCTGAATTTGGCTGGCTTTTATACTAGCAGTTTTTTAGCTGGGAATGGACTGGAATCTTATACCTAGATAACATAAACAGTCAAATGTCTACTAAAATAAAAGCACTTGATCTTCCAAGAAAAAGTGACCTTTGCTCACCCAAGGACATTAGGTTGCTATAGGTCTCCAGCATTACATCTCTGTGAAGGGTCCGCTGACCAGGATCCAGATCCTGCCACTCCTTCCATGTGAAGTACACAGCCACATCATCAAATGACATCAGCTTCTGTAATGACACATTTCCATCAAGAAATTAGACCTGGGTCATGAGAATTCCAATCAGGAATTTCATTATGCTGCAGGTATGCTTTTGTCTTACATTAAATGTTTGCAGCTTGCTGTGTTATCTATTCACTGGGAAAATTAAATAGCAAATTAGAAATATTGGACAATATATAAATCTGGTCATTAAAACACACAGATTGGCAGGGCACTGGTGGCTTATCCTCCTAGCTATTGAGGAGGCTGAGGTCTGCGGATCTAGGTTCAAGGCCAGCCCAGGCAGGAAAGTCCATGAGACACTTATCTCCAATAAACCATCAGAAAACTGAAAGTAGCACTGTGACTCAAGTGGTAGAGCACTCACTTTGACATGAAGAGCTGAGGGACAAGAACCAGGCCCAGAATTCAAGCCCCAAGACCAATAAAAATTACAGTTTCCCTAATGCATGCAAACACATTTCTGCTGCTAGCAATAGAGACAAGATAAAAACTCTAAGGAGACAATAATCTGGCATGACAACAATAAGTCTAAGGAGGTGTCTGAAAAATTATATTATCATTTTTTGATAAAATTTTAGTACATATAAGGGTAACAATGAATTAAACAAATATTTTTTCTGCATTTACATATACTGCTTCACCCTAAATCCTATTTTGACTTTCTATTAACAGGTACTCTCATAAGCAAGTAGAACACATTCAGGATATGACATGGAATACAGAACATAGAATATTACTAGACCTATGAGAAGCAGTGTCCACATGAATATTCAAAAATACTAACAGTACTCCAGAAAGTAGATAATGATTCATTTTGCCCATATAAGATTTAATTGAGTTCACACATAAAAATACCCTAGGTTAACCATGTTTGGTTTAAATACTAAATATTGAAAAGTGGTCACAGATACCCTGATATTTCCATCCTATGTAAAAAAGAACTGCTACCATGAAGTTTTGTAAACTTTGCCTACTTTCTACAATACAAAATATATGTGGGAGGGGAATAAAATATTCTTTACAATATTTTCATTTTAATAGATTTCATGGAAGGTGGAGGAAAATGTATACAAGCTCAAGGAATACTCAATATGACAAAAATGATGAATATGAACAAATGCTCCAATGTGTCACAAATTTCTGAGTCATTTCTCCAGTAGATCCCTAAGGATATATTTCCACTTGTGTTAGTTAATCGCAAAATTCCTCAGAGATCCAAATCATTTCCTGAGAAATCCGAGAGATTTTGCAACAAGTGATATTTCTAATAAAGAACACCTTGTCACTGTATTTTTTTTTTTATCAAAACCAGTTCCTATCACATACTGGCAGTGAATTTAAATATTCAAAAGTAGTGGTAAGGAAAGACAAAACAAATACCACATCAAATGAAGTTAGACCAAAGATAACAGAATCAGGATTTTCTTGTAGTTTATAAGTTGGGCGAAGGAAATACTTTTCTGTGGGAACTCTGAAGTTGAGCTGAAGGGGGAAAAGGTTTGAGAGGTTGGAATTCCAGCCTGACCGCAATGAGAACACTGAGAGCTGGCCACAGAAGGGTTAAAAGAGAATTCTGGAGAGGGTTAAGAGACTGGAGGGCAGGCCTTTTCCTTACTGTTGGAAAGATAGAAAGATAGCATCTGAAACTGAGCTGCTGTTCACCTTCAAGGCTAGGTAAGGTGAACTTCATGTCTGCATTTTATCTGGGAGCCAGTCTTCTGTCTCAGGAGATTAGGAAACATGTTTTCCTCACAACCTGTTGTGGCTCTGATTGTACTACTAATATAGTTACTTCATTTTTGCATGTTATCAATGGTAATCTTCCCTGTGTGCACTCAAGGAACTATGCTTGCTTGCTGGCACCAAGGGACCAAGTGCCAGAGAGCCTTCCGAACCCTGGTTTTCCCTAAGTCTATCTGTTTATGTGTTTGTGATTTTCTAATTTTGTTTCTGGAATCCTGTAGAACTCTCTAGGGAACAATTTTCCTATACAATGGGTAAGAAAAATGTCAAACCTAAGAGCCATGTCAGCAAAGTAAAACTGATCACTAAGAAAAAATAGTTCCCAGATAGATCATTTGAAGAAAAGAAACAACTGAGACACATATGGAGGAAAGAGGGAATGAGAAAAGTAAGAAAAAAATGATAGAAAGATAGATACAAAGAGAGAGAAAGAGAAAAATAACCAACACTAGTGAGTAGAAAATCAAAAATAGAGAGAGAAAATAGAGGAAAGAAATTTTGTGAGGATACTTTAGAAAACAAACAGGAATTTGTAGAAAGACCATAAAGGTTAGCAACAAATATACCCTAAGTTTCAAGTAAGACGAAGAACATGAAGTCGACCAAGTACTATATATGGAGAGTAATTTAAGTACATATAGGTTAATCATTCCATAACAACACATGAATGTGTGTCTGTCCATAACACTATTTCAGCAATTCCAAGAAAATTTCATTGAAATAGTTTTAATGTTGCTCATGAGGATGTGATCTGTTTGCAAGCTATCCTTCACCTTCCATGAGAAGAAACCTGCTCAGTGTCATTACATCAAATAACAGATTTGATTACATTTTATGAGAAGATGAAACCTAGACGTTCTGAAGCCAATCTGCATTCAACTTAGAAAGAATATAACCATTTAATCTGCTAAACCTACAAGCAATCTTAATCTGATA